GTGGTTAACTCTTAACTTTTATAAAGAATATCTCTTTGGTTTTGAGACTTTATTCTTTGCAACTTTACAGATCTTCTTTATGCACCAAGAGCTTGTGACACTCCAAAGAGAAAGGAAAAATTTAAATCGCATTATATGACCCCTGTAATTTTTATTAGGGATGCACCGAAATGAAAATTCTTGGCGGAAGCCAAATCCGAGCAAAATGAAACACTGGGCCGAAAGCCGAAGGCTGAATACCGAACACGGTTTTTCGAGTTTTTTTTCCCCCCCATTTATTTTTCCAATTTTTTTCACCATTGCATAAATTAAATAGCCAAAATGTGCTTTTTACTATGTTGTCTTGCTTTTCAAAGAAAAAATCAATTACAAAACAATAATTAAAAAATATTTAACACTGAACATTTTTTAACATTCTAGCAGACATTATACCAACAAAGCACAATTTAACTTAAAGGGGGCATAACACACACAGTTTCACCCAATCTCATGTTAATCTTGAGTACCTATAGAGTAGTACTCCAAAAAAGTCTTTAGTTTGATCATATTTATAAAAGATATATACAGCTTTACAATTCTCTCTGGGAAAAGCCGAGCTCCTGGAGGCGCGCGGTGGGCGGAGCTAAAGAGTGACGAGCACTTGAGCGCCGAATAACAACAAAACAGACATTTGATGCTGTTTCACTTACCGTCTGCAGTTCTGAATCATGACCGGGATCTTTTATAGCTGGGACCGCTCCATCTTTCAGTATCAAACGATGTGCAAATCCAGCATCAAACTGTTTTACATAACGCTGGGTTCTTTAGGAAGCTGAACAAAGTTATCTTTCCCTTACAACCAAAAACACACTTCTTTGGAGACATTCTTCCTGACCAAGTCCCGTGCAGCGCTGCCGCCGGATGAAGTTCGTTCATGGGCGCGATCTTGCTCTCGCTCTGGTCGATGTGAGCGCGGGTGCGCTCTTCCGGGAGAAATGCCCATATAAGGAGTTCCATCCTCGTATACGTCTTAGCATGAGAAGCCAACTCTTTAACAGTGTAAACAACAGCATTGTACCCCACCTTTAAAATTAATAAGTCAGTAAAATCATATTTCTTAAATAAGGCATGTATTTTTTTAAATGAAAGCAGCCTAGCTGAGCAGAAGAAACTTCTTTTAAAACATTAGAAAATATTACAGATCCCAATATGAACACTATGTGTGAATGTTATAATAAATGTATTACTAGAGCTGTTGTAATTATTATTATAATTATTATTGTCTTACTTTTTATTTTATTTTACAGAACAACAGTAAAATTACAATACTAACGTTTACAAAAGTTGATGGAGTTCTTGCTTTTTCTCAACTTTTATTTTGGTGGAAACACACAGGAAGACCTCAATGCTTCTTTTTGTTGACAACAGCAGATTTATAAATGAGACTCATTACGAATATGTCACATGCTTTGTAAAAATACATAAAAATGTGACTGAGCAACTGACTATTTTTGCTATTTGATCACGTCACGTCATTGTTCGGTACAATTTATTCGGTCTTTTCGCTTGTTCGGCCGAACACCGAAAAAGCTTTTTTTTTGTTGCTATTTTCGGCCGAATAATTTCGTTATCCGAACATTCTGTGGATCCCTAATTTTTTGTTTTCTTGTTGTTACAGGCCTGAAAAAAGACAGTCTGCTTCATAACAACTTCCCTGACCTCCGAGTGACCCCTTCACATGGACCACCAGGTCCAGCTGGACCCACAGGTCAGTGAATCAGAATGATTTTTTTCTTGTTTTTTCTCATGTAATCAAGTTTGGCTTATTGACACATTATTGACACACCGTTTAACACTGTTTAGCTGCTTTGGCACAATCTGTATCGTATACAACACATAAATACATAAATAAAGGTGACTTGACTTGTTTTTTAAAGTATTTTTCACTATTGCACATTTATACCATGGATGATTACTAAGTTTAAACTAAGCTTTTCAAAGCCTGATTTGAAAACAAAAAATAAAAATCTGATGAATTTATGCCACATACTCACTGAATTTAAGTAACTTCATTTTTTGTTTTTTTCTCCAGCATTTATTCATTTTCATTCATTTATTCTTGAGCATATTGGCACATTTTACTTTTCTACACACTGTAAAATGAATATTGAAAACATCACACAACAAAAATATCACTAAACTCAAAGTTGCCTTACTATTTGTGGCCTGTCTTAAATTACTTATTGTTTCAGTATGAATTAATACAATGAATACAAAATGTGTGGGATGTGAAGTATTGTGAGTGTTTGTGTATAATGAGAATTCTATGTTTTATTCTGTTTCTGGACACAAACCAAGTATCATTTTCCTTCTGTGAAGCGATTTTTTCAAAGTCTTAAAGCCTTAAATTGTTAAATAATGCTTGCTGGGTGATATCGCTTTTGCTTGACAATCCTCATAAGGCTGCGGTTCTCTTGGCTGGTTGTGCCTCTTTTTCTTCCACACTTTTTCCTTCCACTCAACTTTGTTAACATGCTTGGATACCGCACTCTGTGAACAGCCAGCTTCTTTGGCAATTAATGTTTGTGGCTTACCCTCCTTGTGAAGGGTGTCAGTGATTGTCTTCTGGACAACTGTCAGATCAGCAGTCTTCCCCATGATTGTGTAGCCTAGTGAACCAAACTGAGAGGCCATTTTGAAGGCTCAGGAAACCTTTGCAGGTGTTTTGAGTTGATTAGCTGATTGGCATGTCACCATATTCTCATTTGTTGAGATAGTGAATTGGTGGGTTTTTGTTAAATGTGAGCCAAAATCATCACAATTAAAAGAACCAAAGACTTAAACTACTTCAGTCTGTGTGCATTGAATTTATTTAATACACAAGTTTCACAATTTGAGTTGAATTACTGAAATAAATGAACTTTTCCACGACATTCTAATTTATTGAGATGCACCTGCACATTTCAGTTAGAGGTTCCTGCATCATTTCAGACAATCATATATCCATAATTTCAAAACTACTTTATTGAGTTACTTCTAATTATCAGTTGTTCTTGTTTTATGTTCAAATACGTTTTCCCCTAGGAGCATCCATCAGGTATACTGATATCAAATGTGATATTTCAATTGTAGAAACTTGTTGCAGAAAGTTTACAAATCAAAGTGAGCCTCTAGCAGTTTGATTTGGTCTGAATGGACCGTTTTTATCATTATTCTATCATTTGAGTATCACGCTGGCCATCACAATATTTTCCATTTGCTGTTTCGAGCTGCATGTCAGTGCAATGCCATAACGTGAGATCATGAAGTGTTTTATTCGAATATGTTAACGGTGTCTTTTGCAGGTCCTCAAGGACCGATGGGACCCAGTGGACCACCAGGCCCTATGGGACAAACTGTAAGTTATAGGCTATTTCTTATGTGAGTGTGTGAATTTGTGTGTGTACTAATCACATCATCCTTTTCTCATGTAATCAGGGAAAGCCGGGACCTCCTGGTTTGCAAGGCCCTGTGGGACCAAACGGCGAACGAGGCGAAAGAGTGAGTGCATAAGCATAAACCTACCCAGAGTGCAATGCTGCCTGAATATATTGTGCAATTCTCACCCTTAATTTACCTCCACAGGGACCTCTTGGATATCCAGGAGAGAGAGGGTTCAAAGGAGAGCCGGTAAGACACACACCTTCTACCTGATCAAAAAAGAATAAGGACAGCACTACAAAAGTAGACCATATGACTTTGTCACAAGTCTTCTGAAGCCGTACATTAAGTTTGTGTGAGAAATTGATCATTATTGACACCTTTTCTTCCTAGGGAGTGCCGGGACCTAAAGGAGAGCCGGGGGAGAAAGGTCTTCCGGTAAGACAGACCCATCAGGAGTCCTGTTAGTCACACACTCACTCCTTGCTCCTGCTAAACCTTTACAGGAGGGAGTGTGGGAGAGAAATGATCAGTCCCTGAGCCTCACGAGTGCAGGGAAAATGTCATTCACTTAAAATCTATTTAAATGCATTGATTTTAATGCAGAAATAATCTCTTTCCTTATACCTGCTTATCGTTGTTCTAGAGCGATTTAAACGTAAGGGATTTTGACATTTGCCATGATGTTTTTGTCATTCTTGGTTTTAGGTTTTCATTGCTCATCCTGCCATTCATCTGTGTTTTAACATCAATGATCATGCTAAATCCATCAGTGGAATTTTCATCTTGAGAAATGGGTGCAGACTGATTTTCTCATTTTAAATTTGTGAAAAATCTAAGCAAAATTAAAGAGCGAATGAAAACTCCACTGAAAGGATTTGCTCCACAAATGCTGTTCATTGCTTACTTACAGTACTCACTGTTAGCACACTGTTATATGTCTTGGTTTTGTGTGCACTGGTATTGTTTCGATATGTTTTTGAACAAGAGGTTGCCCTTTATAGCTGATCTGAGACCAGTTTTTGGCTTCTCGCTGTCTAAGGTGGGGTTAGGGGTTTCTGAACTAGTCTCAGGTTAGCATACAAGGGTATATTCTATTCAGAATGTGCAGTGATGTTGTTAATGTTGTTGATGTTTAATTTTGATTGGTTGGTGGTTGGGGCTGTCTCGGAGTGTTTCCCCTGTCCTCTAAATCTGATTCCTTTTCGTTACTGTCTCCATGGCTGCCTTTCACAGCCACCAATCTCTTAGCTACCAACTCTGGCATATACACAACACACAGAAAAGTTAAATCTTTGCTTTGTCGTGCTGTTACGACAAAGAAGAAACATTGTACTGTTGATATAACCTTTGTGTACACCATTGTAAATGTATTAATATGGGCTGTCCAGCAACCAAACCTCTGGGTCAAAACCACAGGGGGGCAGAAATAAGAACAAACATCTTTGCAAAACTGTAAGGTCTGTGTGTTGTGTATATGCTCCATTTTAGCATTTGCAGGGATTTGGTGTGTGGATGGATACAGCTATCCCTCAGTGTTCCACAGTGCATTGCTGCATGATCCCATCTCATTGCGCTGCTTGTAATCTTCCTTTTTGCCTCCTTAACTTACATCTAACCATTCGATTTGAGTTTGTAGCATTGAGCGATTACTAGTCAAACAAATGTTCTGTTTTAATTGCATCACGTTTTCATACTCAATCTATTGTGAAAGGCTTGAAAAGCCTCTTAGTTCACAGAAAACTGATTTATGGTTTTCCGCAAGGCCTGCCGAACCCAGAAGATTTGTGTTATAAATTACAAGACAGATAATTTCATTATATCCTTTAGGTGTAGCTTCTTTGCTGTATGTAGAATCCTTAGAGATGTATACATAACATGTATAAAGACCATACAATTATTTGAAGATTAATCTCTTTACATTTATCAACATGACGCTCATATAATACCTTGGAGAAAGATTCTGGACCATAGCCATACTTACATCCCTTAATGAATATGTTTTTTTTTTAAAGTAATGATATTATATTATTTGCTGTTTTATTTGGCTAGATGATCTACCTCCTGCTCTCACAGGCACTAACTTTTACATAAGCCTTACATTCATAACCTGAATATTCCTGAATTCATCAGTAATGCTGTTTTTCTAACGTGTGCTTGAGCTTGGGACTGTTGTGTAGAATGTCCGTTATGTGACCAGTTTCTTTACACTGTTCACGAAATGCCCACCAAAGCCACATAACTAAGCATTTCAGCTGATTTTTTTGTAAAATACCACAAAGGTTTTCCGTTAGATCTGTTTTTGATGTCCAAGTATACTGATTCTTTGTAGGGCAGGGTCAAAATATTGATTTTCCTATTAATAATTCCTATTCCTAGTAACATAATTCTAAAAACAAAACACTGGTTACGTTAACTGAAATTGGACAAACAAATGACTTTTATGTGCTGATTATTTTTAGTGAATCCAAAATGTACTGCGTATCATAGAATCTTATGAGTCAGTTTTTTTTAATGAATCGCAAACATACAACACGATCAGTATAATCTGATTTACGAACAAATGACTCCTATGAGTCGGTTCTTTATAATGAATCTAAAATGTGCAGCGTGATCAGTGTTTCCCTATTCCTGATACGAACAAGCTATTTCGACATGCTACTGGTTTGAATCAGTCTGGAAAACGGACCTGTATAATTTACAGTATCAAGAGAGAGACTTTCTTGAATATGTAAATGAAATGGAGGTTATGAGTGAACTGAATCGGGAAATCTTTATTGATACCCAACCATAATTCCTTGAACTTTACATGGTCAGAATTCATTAGGTATTTTATATGTATCATATGTAAATGATTTACTGGCTCTGATTGGACACCAGTATTTGATAGACATGTTTCCAATTTAAACTTATTATGGTGGCTTTGGTGTAAGAGCATATTTTACCTTGAGATGAGCAGTCTAAAGAAGTGTGTCTACATCAACTGAGTGCAAAAATTGTCCAGATGACTCTAACAGCTCTTTAGTTTGAACAAAGCTGCTCACCTCTTGTTCTTTCAGTAACATAGTCTGAGTATACTGGGAATGTTAAATGCATGTTTAAATCTAAAATGATTGAACATTTGGTCTTGATTTGCTCTAAGGGGCCTTTGGCCTGGCCTCCGAAAAAAATGCATGCTCTTTTGTAAAAACTTATGGCATGGCCACAGAAGAAAAAAATGAAAAAAGACAGGCAGAGCTAAATCTGATGTGTAGTTAACTGGAGTTTTGTAGTGAATGGAACTGAGAACCTAACCTGCTAACTATGGTAATGGATTGAGATTAATGTAATTGATTAACAGAATGACTATGCATCTTGGCGAGCGCTTTTGTTTGGCTTTTGCCCAATACCTTGACGGCTGTATCTATCTCCACAGGGGGATGGGATACACCAAATCCGCGAAGCCCTGAAGATCTTAGCCGAGAGGGTTTTAATCCTCGAGACTATGATAGGTATCCATGGTGAGTAGGAGGCCAGAAGTAGATTTAGGTCCATTTTAAAGGACTTATAATCAGGGGTCAGAGATTTCAGTGCATCTTTTACCCAACAACATCTTTGGAAAGCAAGTGTGGCGGAGGACAGGGGCCAAGTACTCAACCTGCCATCCACAAGGCCAACCCCCCACCATGCTTGTCAAAAACTCTTGATCTTTGATAGGACTTTAATTTGAAGAAGTTCCAAGACTTGCAAGCTGACTTAGAGCTGCTGGCTCGCAGGGTGCAGCTGCTGGAGGCGATCATCTGGCCAGGTAATGTCCGCCTCCGCTCGTCTAGCAAGTCAATCTACTGCCATCTCCTGGCCAGTTAGAAGATCAGCACACAGGAAGGATTATATGAATTCAAAAAAAAAAAAAAGACTCCATCCAGGGTCAGACTCCAGCAGTGTTTCCCAGTTACTAGACTCTCATTAAGTTGATTTTAATGATATGCAGCCACTAGGTATTTAGTAGATGCGTTACCATCCATAGTGACTTACAGTATGCTATATTTACTATGGAGATAAAGCTGCTGCAACAACCTGGTTTCAGTGCCTCTCTCAAGCATGCAGTGTGATGATGGGAACCGCAGTAAATCACCCCAATAGTTCATGAATCAGCCCTTCTGAAGTTTGAACCAGCATCCCTTGAATTACTAGTAAAGATTTTACACACTTCTTCCTCTGATTGAAGACCCATCATTACCCACCAAAACAACGCAATACCACAGGGCTCTAGACTCAAAAATGACTAGGTTGAAATGATCTACTAAAAGGCAGCACTTATAGGAGCCAAATTATTTCTTATTTGTCAAATAAGGGAATTGCTTGATAAAGAAGCAATTGCTCAGAAGTTATACAAACCAGGGTTTTCTAGTTATCATGATCGAATTTGTGACATATATTCATGCATTTTGTAAGAATATTTATTCATGTTTGGGGGGGGGGGGATATTTTGTTGACTGTCTTACAGTCCCATACAAAGTTTCCCTTACAGTTGATACAACCTTAATGAACTGTACTGTACTAAAGAAAAATATGTTTGTTATTTTTATCAACAAAGTTTCCCATACAGTTGATTGAAACATTTAAATGGACCTAATATTAAAAAAACAAACAAACAAACATTAAAATAGTTTGTAAAGTATCATTTATTAATTTATAATAACAACATTAAGTATTTAGTTTGATTCAGCCTCACAGATTGACTTTACTGTGCTAAACAATAATCAGTAATATTTTAAAATATATATATATATATATAAGAATGATTTTTAAAATATAATTTATAAATATTTATAGCAGAACTCCGTTTTGAGACTTCTATAATTACAATTATCGCTAATTATTTCCATATGGACAACTGGTCATTAAATAGACTGATTAAAGTCTCTGACATATTCCCAAAAACAACAACAAAACAAAACGAACAAATCTAATTCAAACCACCAAAAAAATGATTTAATTAGAGTCATTTGTTCATGTTTCCCATGCATCAATGCTCACACAACAATGTAAAAGTTTATGCAACTTTTCATTCATATCTTTTCATTACCATCACTAATAGTTCCTAAATTTTAAATTATTGTCACAATTTATTTTTGCAACAATTTAGTCAGTCTGGAGCCCTGTTACCACCCTTCTTCATCTCAATATGCTATAACATGATCTCCATAATATCTCTATATGCCCCTTTAGAATAAACTGAATCAATGGACTATTATTCATCAACTGTCTTGATACCAGCCACTTACAAAGTTTAGCACTTAGCAGCCTTCACTCTCTCTTCCTTCAACAGAACCAGATCTAGGATCAGGAGATGGCTTCTTTGGCACATCGTCTCCAGATGCCTACCGGATTAAGAGGGCAAGAATGTCATCTTTCCGACTCAGTTCTCCCTTAATCACTGCTGAGACCAAGGTTCGAGGGAAGTAGTCTGCATATTCCAAAGAGCGAAGCCATCGTTTCCATCTCAATTTCAACATCCATAAATCAGCTTAACTGGCAACAACTACACAAGTCTCCTGAGACACACACATTCTACAGATCCAACCGCTTTGGAATATTCCGGATAATCAAGACGGGGGAGACACCTCAGGGAAGAACAAATGGTGCTGTATAAATTAACCACCTCTAATGGGACTCACGGGTTCCTAGCACCTCTCCTCTGGCAAATCATTGTGGTTTGCCTTCATGTTGTGTTACACTTATGGCATAACCAACAGAATTAGTCTCAGAAGAAATTTGTCAACCTATTGTAAGATGCTCGTTTTACATGAAAAGGAAACATGTTTTAAAATACAATATACAGAAACAGTATTGGTGCTTGTACAACTATTTAACAAAATTTGGGGTAAGAAGGATACAAAATGTGATGAAGATGAAGAACGTTTTTAGTAGCATCAAACCATATTATTAGTCTTTCCAGCTGCTGTTAGGAGCTCATAGTAAATTCAGCAAATGTACTGTATGACAAAAATGCACATAATGATTCTGCTATTCAGCCAAACGCCACACTTTCCACACTGATAAAAAACTGATTTCATATTCCGTTCCTTGGATTAAATGCACTATAGAGAATCACTTTGTTTTTTTAAGAGAAAGGACAACTTTAGGACATAAACATGTATAGACAATTCAATTATAATAGAATTAGTGAAAACAAATTGTTTCAATGTTTTGAAAATCTTTTGTTAAAACATGCCCTTGAGCATGATTTTAAGTGGTTCTGACTTCAATTTTAGGATTCTCCTCTAGTTCAGGACAACAATTAAGTAACCTTAAAATAAAAAATGTGCAATTGTGTGAGGAGATTGAACCATAACACAGACAAAACCCGACTGAAGCACAAGGGGGAAGTGGGGAAACTACTCGTATAACTTGAATTCTGTTTTGTATTTCATGCATGTCTTTCCATCACATTTACATGCACATGCATAGGACTGGTTTCCTTCCTCAATACCTTTCCATGTCTTTGTATTCCCATATAAATATTGTTGTATTAATTATTTATAGATTAGCAATTGATGTTTTCCTTATTCTGTATACTAATCCATGTAACGTCACCTGTATTTTTCCATTTCTAGCCTCTTTGTGTGGATTTGTCTTGCCAGTGTGCAGTCTCTTATCAATTGGTGTTAAAACTAAATAAACTTTGTAGTGTGTTTCTATTTTTAAGACAATCCATGTTTTTATCAATACACAATCCTACCTGAACGTTTAATTTGTAATATTTTAATGAAGGATATTCTGTAGCCAAGAAACCTTGACTAAAATTCTGACACATGCGCATGACTCTCCTGGACTGACAGTCTGCTCATGTGGATTTAATGACCGCATATCCGTGGAGAGGTTTCTTGGAACGTCCATGTCTCATCCATTGGGACAGTTTGGTTGCTGTATAGTGTTTTTCCATTCTTTAAACTTTCATCATAAAAGCTGCCAACACCATAATATAAACATTATTTTCCACACCACCCATAATCCACTGGATTTTTTGTTGCACACCCAAAAGTCATGAAGTAGTAAATACACAGTAACAGTTCACCATGCGGATTGATGCCTTGCTTAAAGTAATAGTTCACCAAAAAATGAAAATGTACACACCCATAAGCCGTCCAAGATGTAGATGAGTCTGTTTCTTCTTCGGAACAGATTTAGAGAAATTCTGAAGCGTTGCATCACTTGCTCAATAGTGGAGTGAATGGGTGTCGCCAGAATGAGAGCTAATAAAACATCACTATAATCCACAAGTGATCCATATGATTCAAGTCCATCAATTAATGTCTTGTGAAGCGAAAAGCAAATCAATCAAGACTTTTTAATTTCAAATCAATCCTCTACTCATAATATTTCTTTCTCCAGTGAAAAAGTTTTGTCTAAATCAGGAGAGAAATAAGCACCGATCAGACAGCGTTTACAAGTGAAAACAGATGTCACTTCACAAGATGTTCATTGTTGGATTGGAGTCACGTGGATGTCATGTGATGTTTTTATCAGCTGTTTGGATTATCATTCTGATGGCACCCATTCATTGCAGAGGATCCATTAGTGAGCAAAGGGATGTAATACAAAATTTCTCCAAATCTGTTCCGATGCAGAAACAAACATCTACATTTTGGATGGCCTGAGAGTGAGTGAATTTTCTGCAAATTTTTATTTTTGGTTGAACTATTCCTAAAGTAATGGAATGAGTAAGGGCAATGCTATCAGCTTCAAATTGAAGCGGTATCCCTGAGCTATGACGCTGATGATGACTTCTTTCCTTTTGAGATGACCACGGCCTCCTCCCCAATCTGGTCATCAATAAGCAGAGAGATTGCTCCATCCAGCTGCCCTGTAGCGGCCAGAGCCACAACAGCTTTCTCTGTGGGGAAGCCCATCTTCTCTAGCTGTTGCAACCTGAAAGTGAGTTTAGACACACAGCATGAACTTAAGCATTCAAGAGATCATTATAGTTATCCATAGTTGAAGAAACACTCATTTACAGTATACACTAACCTTATAGAGGATACTGAGGACTTGGGTACTTCCAATTTGTCCGCTACACCCTCGGGTGCATCGTGGAGTGATGCTAATATCCCTGCTCTCAGCATCTCCTCCTCTAACAACTGTGAATCGGTTGCCATTAAAGGCTCCTGATGCCACTCAGATACAGAATGCTGCCATGCTGAATGATCTTCCAGTTGGGATCTACTGGTTGATGGCTCAATCAATGACACTGGCCTATTACAGAACAATAATAAAGTTCATTCATTCTAGTTACATGATGTGATATAAGATAACAAATGGAAAATATTAGCATAAAGTTCACAATAACCTTATTGAGGTGCTGTGGTAAACTGGCAGGTGTGGATGAGAGGTAACAGGGATGTAGGCCCATTTTGGCAAGCAGGCACAAGCACCCAGTTTCTCTATCTGCTCCAGTATTTCAATTAACTCATTATTGTCTGTATAATATATTAAGGGCATTACTTTATACAGAGTTTATAAAGAGATCAATTTACACCGCAAAATGATATTAGTGTAAAGTAGTGGTTCTCCCCCAGGGGGAGCTCAGTAAACATATGAGGGGGCTGCAGGATGACTTAAAATTATTTATTAAATTGTTATTTAAAATAATAATAAATATTATGAATATATATATATATAGGTTGTATATGCTTATTACCATTCTTCAAAATATTTAGCAAACAGGTTTGGAATCACATGAGGGTGAGTATGTGATGACAGTTTTCATTTTTGGGTGGACTTTCCCTTTAACCACAATTTCTGTTAATAATAAAGTTTGAAAACATTGTCATAATTACAGTAGAAATATCTGAGATATATATAGCCTATATCAGGGGCCTCTGAATATTGTGTTGGCCATTGGGGAGTCTTTGAGTCAAAAAAAGTTGAGAAAGGATACAGCTGAGTCCCAGGCAAATGGCATAAAAGTGCAGCAGGCCAGGAGCACTGGGAAGCAGGAAGAGGTCGAGGATCAAGAGGAGCCAAGGCAAGAACCAGACAGGAACAAAGCGCAGGACTCTCCTCTGCTTCACCTGCCGACACTGAGCTGTGAGCAGGGCAAGGTGTGTGGCTGAGTATCCACTGACCCTGCTGGCTTCATCCCCGGTTACAAAGAGAAAGAGGGCATAAATAGGAGGAAGGAGCACAGTGGAGATAAAGGAGAGGGCTAGAAAGACAAAAGTGCTCCATCTTCTCTCCTGACAGGGCCCGATCCACAGCAGCAGTGTAAGGTTGTGGAGAAATGAGGTTAACTCCTCATTACTGAAGGCGTAGAAGATTAAATCTGCAATACAAAAGGAACATCAGGAACTGAATGTTTAGAATCTAGAATCATAGTCCTATACGTTCGTGAATCGCTTACCATAAAATCCAGGAAAATCCCCGCCTGGTCCTAAACTTAGACTGGCGTGAATACCACAGAGCCAAGTCAACAAAATTAATAAGAGTATTAAAAATGTTCCACTACAATAACCTGGACGGTTTGATCCAAACCATATCCATGCCGAAAAGAGACGGTCAAGCATTGTCAGAAAACTGAAAAACGCATCACCTGATGGGTTGCTATCATTACAAGTATATATCTAGATATATGCTTAGGGTAGGAGTCTCTTTATGTATGTATTCATGTTTCCACTTTCACTTCATTGCCAGTTTACGACGCTAGCATATTGAGGTCTGTTTAACAGACACTTCAACAAACAATGAGTGTACTTACTACAAGGTGCACAAATATCCAATTTATTTTAATTTACTTATACAAGTAAGCTAAGACCAAGGTACATCAATAATCAATGTCATTTGCCAATCCTTTTATTTTGACAGCGAATAACTTCCTCTTACGGGCAAGGGCCTGGGGGGGGGGGGTAACGTTACCCGAATATGTTTTATAAAACGTTATAAACGTATATTTATGGATTTGTTAAACTATATAAAACTGTTTCATACCGAATCACAATTGATCGACACAATTGTATAGATAACCAGGCAAATAACATATTAACAATTACAAGCAGACATTTACATCCACCGCCCTCTACACTTGGTGTGTTGGTACGTTCCATATTGATTTCACGCATGCGCGCTCGTCGCGCTTGCACAGTCGTCCACACTGCGTACGTTCTCCCACGGAAAGATGGCGTCAGTCTCGAGTGAGTTTTTTTTTTTCTTCCTTCGTTTATGTTGTTTAAATTTTTAGAATTTCAGTACTTTGCAATTGCTAGAAATTGCCACAAATGAGGTAAACTTTAAATAATGTTAAGAATTTGGGTGTTTTTGTATAACCAACAGTCCTCGAGCACGCGGCCTCAGGTTTGTGTTTTTAGGTCAGAGTGGTCGGTTGAAGCTAACGGATCGTTAACTCGACCCCACCGGTTTTGAAACTTCGTTTATAGTATGCTAAGAGCAAAATTCACAACACCAGGAAATAATTTACACAAATACGTTTTTGTTCTTTAAGTGCCTAAAACCAGAGCTCGTTGTTTCGTACTTACGCAAACCGTCAGTAGCTAACGTTAGCAGGCGTGGTTTAAAAACAGCGGGATAGAGAGCGCAGCCACCGCGACGAACACAACGTTTCGTGTTGGTTTCGCACTCTTGCGTTGTAAAACAAACTTGCACCTGAGATTTGATTTCTTGCAAGTCTTGTTTTCGACGGTATGTCGTCGTCAGTTTTAGAGTTAAAGTAACGCGGCATCGTAAACGTTAAAATGCATGGTTGTCTTAAATTTATCACGTTTCCCTAACGTTAACTAAAATGTTAGTGTGGTGTTTCAATATCACGGACCCCTGTTTCTTGTGAATGCTTAAACGCTTTAAACAACTAAGCTTGTCCTGTTGATTTAAGCTTCGTTCCAACTAAATGGCTGGGATTCAGCAGGGGCTGCACTCAGTGTCTGTGTTGTGGTGGTCCCATCGTTTTTGGACTAATAAAACGCTAGATGTGCAGTCAGTGTACATCTTTTTCCCCCCTGGTGTTTTACAGCTGGAACGGTGTTTGCAGGATTTCTAACCTTATGTCATTTACTTCCCTGTAGATTATAGCAGCTACAACCAGGCTGGTGCACAGCAGTCGTAAGTCCACCTCCATAAAATGTTGTATTTCTCAACACGATGCTTGCTTGTCATTTATTAAAATAATAATAATACATAATGCACATTTTACACAGGTATGGCTCATACACCACCCCTCCTTCTCAGGGCTATGGACAGACTGCACAGGTAAGGCTAACACTTCAACTAGTGGAGCCTTGGGACTTGCAATGTCAAACTCCCACACATGCTGTGTACTTGTTTGATAACGTTTAAGCAATCCTGGTTGTTGTATCTAATGCTTTGTGTAAAAGAATACAGTGGCATGTAATTCAGCGATTTCTTTTGTGACAGGCCTATTCTCAGCAAGATTATGCCTCATATGCTCAACCCGCTGCTGCACCTGAGTCCACCTACGGTCAGGCAGCGCCCTCTGCTGGAGCGTATGCACAACAGCAGTATGGATCCTCATATGCACAAGCAGCAACAACCGCAGCAGCAGCAGCGCCAGGTCTGCAGGCAACGCTTATTCACTGTTACGCCAGTATATTTGCCTGTTAGTCCTAGTGACTGGAGCATGACTGCACAGCTTTGAAATGCCCCAGAGTTAAAGCAGTAGTTTACCCAAAAATTAAAATCTGCCGAAAGTTTACTCACCCTCAGGCCATTCAAGATGTAAGTATGTTTTTCTTAATCGGAACAGATTGAGATTTAACTTTACACCACTTGCGCAACAATTAATCCTCTGCAGTGAGTGGGTGCCATCAGAATGAGTTTAAACAGCTGATAGACACAGTCCAAACAAATAATCAATTCGATTCGAGTCCATCAATTTATGTTTTGTGAAGCCTTGCGCAACAATTAATCCTCTGCAGTGAGTGGGTGCCATCAGAATGAGTTTAAACAGCTGATAGACAGTCCAAACAAATAATCAATTCGATTCGAGTCCATCAATTTATGTTTTGTGAAGCAAAAAAGGTGCATGCTTATAAGAAACAAATCCATTGTCAAGGTGTTTCACTGCTGACCAAAATATGAGTAATAACGCTTCCTCCAGTGAAAGTCCACGCCCTGTTGTCCTCTAGCATCAAAA